GTTTTTTGGAGATAAAACAGACCCTGTTTCTTCTTGAAGCCTTTGCCATGGGTTAGGGTCTTCGTGATCACCACCCACATGCCTTTGGGTGCTCTTTGCGGGGGCTTTTACTACCTCCCTCCCCCAACCCTCTGCCACTGCAAGGAGCCTGGAAACCTCCCTCGTTCCCCTCACCCCAAACCTGGGTCCTGGCCCCCAGATTTTGTGACAGTCACTGCCAGACAGGCCAAAAGGGCATCATCAGTGCACGGCTCGATTGCAGGTTTGGGATATAACCGATTCATTTTATTGATTAAGCAACATAGCTAATAAATTAAGTAATCAATAACCTAAATAATTAACAGACACATCCTATTATTCATTTATGATTAAATGATTCTGCACACCGCAAAGCTACTAATTGCGGCTCTTAAATCTTATGAATCCCACAGGACTGCTGTTGAACAACAGCTCTATAATTTGTCCCAACGCCTGGGGTGGGGTAAGGTCCCATCGGAGTCCCGATAACCTGCGGGGGGCTGTGCCTGCCAGGCCTGGCTCTGCAGGTTGACAGCACAATCCGGAGTCATCTGCACCCCTAATATCAGAAGACACCCTCGCCCTGTGCCGACCTTTACTTGATTTTGTACCTTATCCTCAATTTTTTCCATTTCTGGGCCCTTTTTGCTACCCTTTCACCTTCCTTTCTCCACCCAAACAGCCTGCTCCAAATTACTTTTCCTGCACAAGTCCTAGTTTTGTTTCGCCCATACCAAATTTGATGTTTTTGCTATTACTACTTAGGTAACCTCAGCTTTATATGGGATTCTTGCTGTGGTCATGGATGTAGAGGAGAAACCCCGCCTGCAACTTCATGATGCTGCTGGAGGCTGGGGACAGGCAGGAGCGCTGTGGTCTAGAGGTGAGCCCCTACAGCCCCCCCAATCCCTGAGAGGATCACAGGGTGCAGTGGCACGTTACACAGTCTGCATGCTGCAGGCGGGGATGATGGAGGGCAGGTACTGGAAGCGCCACATATGAGTGTCACCCGGGAGTACCACAAGCAGAAGATGTACTTGTGGGCACAGGGACACCTGAACTCCCCTCCTGCCCCCCTGTGACCCCCACCCATGCTCCCTATAAGCCCCCCCACCCAAACTGACCAACAACAGTGTGCTCCAGCCAAGCCCCTGCCAGCCTGGGGACACCTCTGTCCCCGGCTCTCCAGCCCCGTTGGCCTTGCTCCCTCCCTGCTGTTACCCTGGGGTACAGGCAGCGCTGGCCAGGGAGGGGGCAGGTGGCATTGCCCGCTCTGTGCCAGTCCTGTGGGCACCCAGATGGTCAGTGACTCGCATCATGGCTCCTCTTTGATTTTCTCCAAGTGCAGAAGATGAAGGACAAACCAACAGCGTTGTCCTCTCAGGTACCAGCGCCGTGGCTACACTGCTGCTCGCTATCCAAAGGGCTCCTCTCTCCCAGTTTAGCTAGTCTCCCTGGTATTACTGGGAGTCCTCACAGCACTGGCTTCTAGATCTGGGTTCACCAGCTCCCCCCACCCTTTCTGTGCCTGGTGGGGCGACCTCTCTCCTGTCCCCTCAGGCTACTGTGGGGTATCCCATGTCCCTTCCTGTGTCCCCTCTCTGTCATGCTGGCTGTGGGACAGAGCTCTGCCGCTCTCCTATGCTTCCCCAGCCATGGCTCACCTTTAGGGGGGACACCCCAACCCGGGGACCCCATCATTCTCTCTCCATCCCTGTGGTAAGAACCAATCCCCTGCTGCTGGCATGGGAGGGGGTGCAGCAGGCACAGGGTGGGCCAGGCTCTGGGCACTGGCTCTGCTGGGCATCTGAGCCAGAAACCTGGCCCTGCCATGGTCCCTGACGCTGTCTGTCTGTCTCTGCTCCCTGGGTAGCCAGCTCCTGATGCCGTTAACTCTGCTCCCCCACCGCTTGCCTGACCCCCAGCCCTGCACCTCCCACCCCAGCTCACCCTCCTGCTTCTCCATCGTTGTTGCCCAGCCCCGTTGCCCCCACCCACCAAAAGGGGCACCCCTGTAATGAGGGGGAGCTACAGGCAACAGTGATGCCTGTCTGCCCCAGAGCAAGGGGATCTGTGGGGCAGAGGGATTGCTGTCTGCTCCGTACCAGAGGGGGGGTGTCTGGGGCAGGGGGGAGCAGAGGGCATTGTGCAGGGACACTGTGGGGTGACACAGCCCCCTTGAATTAAACTGCATGACCAGACAACCTGCCTGGGTCTCTCGGGGGGGGGTACAGACCTTTGCCCTCCCCCCAATGCCCCTTCATCCCCCACCCTCGGGGTGCCCCCCACACAGCACGCGGCAGCCCCCCTCCTTCACTCACATCAGCCTTTAATCCGCCCGGTGCCCCCGGGCTGCGGCACGGCTGCGGACAGGCCGGGGGGGGGAGGGCTGCAAGCACGGGGAGAGGGAGGTAGGGAGGGCCCCCAATTCCTCGCTCCAGCGTGGGGTGCAGCGGCTCAGAGCTCATACTCATGCCAGAGGCTGTG